CAAGAGATAGAAGAGAGAATCTCCAGTGCAGAAGATACCATAGAAAACACTGACACAACTGTCAGAAAATGCAAAATGTGAAAAGCACCTAACCCAAAACATTCAGGAAATCCAGGACACAATGAGAAGACCAAACCTAAGGATAATAGGCGTAGAAGAGAGTGAAGATTCCCAACTTAAAAGGTGAGTAAATATCTTCAATAAAATTATAGAAGAAAACTTCCCTAACCTAAAGAGATGCCTATGTACATACAAGAAGCCTACAGAACTCCAAATAGACTAAACCAGACAAGAAATTTGTCCCCTCAAATAATAATCAAAACACCAAATACATGAGACAAAGAAAGTATATTAAAAGAGGTAAGGGAAAAAGGTCAAGTAACTTATAAAGGCAGACCTATCAGAATTACACCAGACTTCTCAATAGATACTATGAAAGCCAGAAAACCCAGACAGATGTCATACAGACCCTAAGAGAACACAAATGCCAGCCCAAGCTACTAAATCTAGCATAGCAAAACTCTCAATTACCATGGAGAGAGAAACCAAGATATTCCATGACAAAACAAAATTTACACAGTATCTTTCTACAAATCCAGCCCTACAAATAATAATAGATGGAAAATTCTAACACAAGGAAGAAAAACACATCCTAGAAAAAGCAAGAACGTAATCTTCCAACAAACCCAAAAGAAGATAACCACACAAACATATTTCCACCTCTAGTAACAAAAATAACAGGAAGCAACATTCACTTCTCCTTAGTATCTCTTAACATCACTGGACTAAATTCCCCAATAAAAAGACATAAACTAACAGACTGGATATATAAACAGGACCCAGAATTTTGCTGCACACAGGAAATGCACCTTAGTGACAAAAACAGACACTACCTCAGAATAAAAGGCTGGAAAACAATTTTCCAAGCAAATGGTCCCAAGAAACAAGCTGGAGTAGGCATTCTAATATCAAATAAAATCGACTTTCAACCAAACGTTATCAAAAAAGGTAAGGAAGGACACTTCATATTTGTAAAAGGAAAAATATACCAAGATCAACACTCAGTTCTGAATATCTATGCTCCAAATGCAAGGGCACCCACATTCATAAAACTAAAAGCACACATTGTACCTCACACAATAATAATGCAATACTATTACACCTCACTCTCATCAATGGAAAGATCATAAAAACAGAAACTAAACAGAGACACTGTGAAACTAAGAGAAGTTATGAAACAAATGGATTTAACAGATATTTATAAAACATTTCATCCTAAAACAAAAGAATATAACTTCTTCTCAGCACCTCATGGTACCTTCTCCAAAATAGACCATATAATTGGTCACAAAACAGGCCTCAACAGATACAAAAAGATTGAAATAATCCTTTGCATCCTATCAGATCACCACAGACTAAGGCTGGTCTTGAATAACAACAAAAACAATGGAAAGCCCACATACACGTGGAAACTGAACAAATGGTCTACTCAATGATAACTTGGGAAAG